CTGGAGACTGTGAGTTAGAGGGGAGAGTGGTGCACCCTTCCCCAAGGTGCTTTGTTCAGGCCACTGTTTTCACAGGTTCCTTCTCTCTACACTCAAGTCTGGCAACTCTTTTTTCTTTTTCTTTCCAATGTGCTCTTGAGCTTTTCAACATTTGTTAAGTGATTCCTTCATTCCATCTTCAGGGTGACTGCTGAATTTCAGCACAGAGTACTAGCTCCTTTTGTTTGCTAAAATTCTTTGTGATTCAGTGTCACATTAATATATATGCTTGGGTTTTTTTTCTTTTTCTTTTTCTTTTTTTTTTTTAGGTGAGGCTTTATTCTAAGAAGATTTGGGATCTCTGTTTCATGAATTCACATTCTAAAGACTAAATGTTGCAGATGCCTTGAAATCCTGGTAAGTGTCTCATGTAATAAGAATTTTGAGATGTAGGATAATTGTGTTAACAGATAAAAGACTTAATTCAAATCAGGAAAAATTTCTATTTCTGTATGTAATGTCATGCTTTTGACTGATGTGTCATCTTGTGATTTTATCAAGTAGAATTAAAATGGTCTTGCTAATTCCTGTATCTGAATATTTATGTTCATTTACATGATATTACCTTGTGTCACACCTACTTCCACAGAGTTGGTTCTGACCCTGGGCACCCTTCTGCCAGGTTCTAAGGCTGTAAATTATTATTTTCTAATTAGAAACCACTTTAATTCATTTTTGTTCATTCTCAGTCATGATTTTCACTGATTATAGTTCTTTTTATTCCCTCTGATAAAATATAGTAGCAAAAACAACAAAAGAATTCATAAAATCAGGAGGCCTTTAAAAGTGCGTGCTTGATAGGCTATATTGACAAGCGTGCAATTCCTTGTACTTTAGTCAGGACAGAAACATGGTGTTGTGAGTTCACCTTACCACTCCTTCACACTTTTCTCAAAAGCAAATTGTGCCTGAAGTCCTCAGCATCTAGGGGCAAAAGGGCCAAATACACAGGCGTACTCCTTCTCTTGTGCTCTTAGGGGCCTCAGGTCTAGTCATGCTGATTCTCCCCTGGCCTGGGCAGCAGGCATTCAGGAAGATCTTGGCACCTTTCCTCTGTGCACTCAGATTCCTGGCATGGATTCTGGATAGGACAGTGACCCCGGTCTTTGACACGCCAATAAGCAGTATTGGGCTAGCCCTCCTTCTGGCACACCCCATTCTTTGTGTGTTCCACACACTTGTTTGTGAGAGCCCTCAACTCCTCTTCTGTGATGGTCTCACTGCAGAACTTCTGCTGCAGCTCCGGGCTGCAGGATTTAAGGGACATGCCACTCAGCAGGTTGATACAATTACCACTCTACCTTGGGATTTTATTAGAGACAGCAACTCTGTGCAGACATCTTGGGTGCTAAAATGTTTGCTTTCAGTGTCACCTCTGCTGGAACATCAAAGGGTGTAGGATCATCAGTCTTGACAGTGATGCCCATGTTGTTGACCAGCATGTCTAAGTCCCTGTACTCACAGTGCAGGAAGTCAGTCACACAGGGTCCCGAAGCTCTGCAGGTTGTCAATATCCAGCTGGTGGAAGCGCAGGCTCAGGCCCTCTGCCTACAGCTGCTGCACCACTGTCTGGCCTCTAGCCTAATCCCAAGCCGTGAACACCACATCCTCTGAGAACTGGCAGGGTAGCTTGCACACAGTGGCGAAGCCCTTGCTGTCCTCAGTCACCATAGTCACGCAGGTGGAGGATGACATGGGGAGACTGGAATACAGCGGCAAACTCTAGAGGCTTGGAGAGGATGTGCAGACAGCTGTGAAGAGAGCTGCCTGGACTGTCTAAGGCAGTAAATTCTTAAAGGGAGAGACTGGCCACTTCCTCTTGCAAAGTAACTAGTGGATTTGAATCACTACCCTTTCTTAGCAACCCAGCATGTTGTTTGCCATGTCACTGACTGATTTAGATTGTAATTGCACAGTCTTTCACATCGTTATTATTTCTGAAGTTAGAGTATGTTTTGTAATTGATGGTGTCCGTGAGCACTACCCTCAACCAGATGGATTGACACAATGACTTGCAGCAGTGGACAGAGATGGTGAGGTTGGGACAGGAAAGGGCAGGGTTCAGATCTGATATTCGTAGGGTTGCTATGGATTGCACTCAATGGCACCTAACAGCAACAACAACATAACACTACTGGCTGTAGCGTAGTCTGTAGGGAGTTGTGTTGCCAAGCTAAAAGAGTTGTGTTGCCAAGCTAAAAGTGGCACTTCTCTGGTGGTTTGAATCTCTATGGGAGAAAGATGGGCAGTCTTTGCCCATGTGACTTACAGCCTCTAAAACCCACTGGAGGGTCAACTCTGAGTGGATTTCAATGGCAATGAAATGAGAGTAGGTGAAGCCCAAACTCTAGCACTTGGAGGGTGTGGGGTAGTGTCTGAAGAGTCTAGCAAGTGAGAAATAAATTAGATTTTAAAATATCCATTGACTTGCTTTGAAACATGAAAACAATGCTATAATCAGTTTCTTTCTTAAGGTGAGGCTGTCACTCACTTGTGTCCGGTGTGCTCGCTTCCCAGTTGTGGCTACACTTTGACATTTCAAATCCTGAGATTAATTTCTACCATAGCTGGAGCTATTTAAGAAGCACCTGACTAGGGCAGAACTATTTAAAAAAAACACTGTAGGATTAATGGCCAGTGTTCAGGTGTTATAAGTCAATCTTCATTTAAAAACAAACAACAAAATCATAGAGTATTTATTTTTCATAGTTTTTTATATTTTAATGTTTTATTTCCAATTTGCTTTAACATGACACCATATCCCTGGTTACTGTACATCTTTTTTTTTTGCTATTCACAATATTTAATTTTTTAAATAAAATTTTAATTTTATACTGGCTTACTTGCTCACCAATTTGTGCCAAGAAATCTGGAGGAGAACCACCCAGTCAACTCACTGGAAGAGATCTATATTTGTTTCTGTCCCAAAGAAAGGTGATTCAACAGAGTGGAAATTATCAAATAATATCATTACTATCACATGCAAACAAGATTATACTGAAGATTATCCAAAAATTACTGGAACAGCACATCAGCAGAGAATTGCCAGAAGTGCATGCTGGGTTTAGAAGGGGTTGTGGTACTACGGATATTGTAGCTAATGTTAGATGAGTCTTGGCTAAAGGCAGGGAATACCAGAGGAATATCTATGTATGTTTCATTGACTGTGCAAAGGCGTTTAACTATGTGGACCACAACAAACTTTGGCTAATTCTGAGAAGAATGGGAATCCCAGAACATTTGATTGCGCTAATGCAAAACCTATTCTTGGACAAGGAGGCAGTCGTCAGAGCAAGGGAACACTGCATGGTTCAAAATTGGAAAGGGTGTACACCAGGGATGTATCCTATCTCCATACCTTTTCAATCTATATACAGAAAAGATTATCCTGGAGGCTGGGCTCTATGAGGAGAAATGTGGCATTACAATTGGAGATAGACTCATCAACAACCTGCGTTATACAGATAACACAACCCTGCTTGCTGAAACTGAGGAGGACCTGAAGCGCTTGCTGGAAGGCCAAGGACCGAAGCCTTCAGTATGTATTAAAGCTCAATATCAAGAAAACAAAGATTCTCACCACTGGACCAACTGACAGCATAGTAATGGATGGTGAAGAGATTGAGATTGTAAACAACTTTAGTTTGCTTGGCTCCACGGTCAGTACTCTTGGCACCAGCAGCCAGGAAATTGAAAGACCTATTGCATTGGGAAAGTCTGCTTTCAGAGACCTCTCCAGAGTACTGAAAAGCAGTGGTGTCAGTCTGGAGACTAAGGTCCTCTTAATACAGGCCATGGTCTTTGTAATCACTTGCTATGCATCAGAGAGCTGGACAATGACTAGGAGAATTGATGCCTTTTTGCTGTGGTGTTGAAGAAAAGTATTGAATATACCATGGACTGCTAAGAGAAAAAACAGGTTCACCCTGGAGAGGGTGAAGGTGGGATGCTCCTTGGAGGCAAGGATTCTGAAGCTTCATCTGACATGCTTTGGACATGTTGCAAGGAGGAACCAGTCCTTAGAGAGGGACGTCATGCTTGGAAGGGTGGAGGGGCAGTGCAGGAGAGGAAGACCCTCTATGAGATGGATGGATTCAGTGACTGGGGTTATGAGGGTAGGTATGTCAGAGACAATAAGGTCGGCAAGGGATAGAGCAGGGTTTAGGGCTGTTGTACATAGAGTCACTATGAGTCTCAAGCGACTCGACAGCACATAAACACTTACGTTTGTATACATTGTTTTTCATACCAAATCTTTCCTATTTCCTTTACCCACTCCTCCCTCTACCCATCAAATTATGCCACCCTGTGATTACTCTGCCCCTCCCCTAGCCCCACTCCACCTATCCTCACCCCTCTGCTCCCCCTTTCTCTCCCTTGGATCCTCATACATTTTATATAATAATGGCTTTATACAGTACTTGTCCTAATGAGACTGAGTTCATGTAGCATAATGCTCTCCAGTCCCTCCCAAGTTAGATAGAGATTTACAAAATCATTGTTCCTGTCTGCTGCGTAGTATTCTATCATGTGGAATGTACCACAATTTCTCAATCCATTCAGTTGTGGTTGGACGTCTGGGCTGTTCCCTTGTTCTTGCTATGGTGAATAACACTGCTATGGACATTGGGTATAAGTCTCTGTTTGTGCCTCGGTTCTCACTTTATCGGGGTATATTCCAAGCAGTGGAATAGCTGAGTCATATGGAATTTCTGTGCCGCTTTCTGAGGAAGCAGCGAACTGCCTTCCAGAGTGGTTGTACCATTTTACAATCCCACCAACAATGTATAAGAGTTCTTATCTCTCCACATCCTCTCCAACATTTATTACTTGCTGGTCTGTTAAACTTTGCCACTGCTACTGGAGTGAGATGGTATCTCATTGTGATTTTGATTTTTGAAATGTGATTGTTTACAATGGGTTTTTGTGATCTCTTCCCCTGTTTGCCTTCTAGCTCAGTCATGAGTGCTAACAGTAACTCCCTGGCCCGTGAGTTTCTGACTGACGTCAACCGGCTCTGCAATGCCGTGGTCCAGAGGACAGAGGCCAGGGAGGAGGAAGAGGAGGAGGCGCATATGGCAGCCCTGGGCAAGTACCTGGTTCACGGACGAGGCTTCCTGCTACTCACCAAGCTGAACTCTATCATTGATCAGGTAATGGTGGGTTACATGGAGTTACATGGCTAACACAAAGGTAGTGCTTCTGATGGTTCAAATCCACCAGCAGGTCTGAGAGAGAAGGATGGACAGTCTCCTCCAATGTGATTTATAGCCTCTGAAAACTCACTGAAGGGTCAGCTATAAGTCCGTCTGACAGTTGTTTGTTGTTGTTAAGTGCCGTTGAGTCGTAGGCGACTCACAGTGACCCATGAACGAAAATCCTCCACAGTTGCGTGACTTTCATCCTTTCTCCATGTTCGTAGGGTTTCCCAAGGAAGCTGTTTATGGAAGTGGATGCCACTCCTGCTTCCAAGCTTGTTTTAGCCAGGGAGCACCACCAAACACTGTCCACCATGGGTAACCATTATCGCATTTGACACGTCAGTGTCACGGTGTTCAGCTTCACAGCAACCACAAGTTGCCTCTGTCCGGCAAGTGGACACACCAGGGCTATATGACCTAGAAGAATGTTTCACCATATATTGAATTATAGGAACATAATTTGTTAGTCTCTGAGATAAGGCCATATCTCTTACATCACTCTAATAAAGAAAAAGAGTGTCATTCAAGACATACTATTTGGATACTTTTAAAAGTATCTAAAATATCTTAGAGTTGTAAATAGCTTTTCATCTAAAAAGGTTTTATATACGCTGTGCTTTTTATCCTAATAGAAGTGACATAACTGTGATTATTGATGGCACTCGTAGGCTGTAGACTTGCTCATTCTGCATACATCACTTATGTTTTTAGAAGTTTGATGTAGTTTGTTCTAAGGGAGCTTACTTGCAGTAAATTCTTGGCTAAAACAGAATTACTGAACCCTTTAACTTGAATAAGAGCGCTGGTGGTGTAGTATTGGCTGCTAAACCAAAGCTCCGGTGACCTACTGGTAAAAAGCAGCATTGCAGTCCCAAAGGCATGTGCCTCAAATCCACCAAATGCTCCATGGGATAAAGATAGGCAGTTTCCTTCCCTGTGATTTACTGCCTCTGAAAACTCACTAGGGGGTTAACTATTGGTTGGTTCTAACTCAACAGTATAACAACAACAGTTAAATAAGCATAGTTACTCATCATGAATAATGTTAAATGTATTGTTAGATGTCTGAAATAATTCAAGGAGTAATTGCAATAAGTTTTTTCCCCATGATAGGGACATTATAGCCAATGTTAGATGGATTCTAGCTAAAAGCAGAGAATACCAGAGGAATGTCTATCTATATTTCATTGACTATGCAAAGGCATTTGACTGTGTGGATCACAATAAATTGTGGCTAATCTTGAAAAAGATGGAAATCCCAGAACATTTAATTGTGCTCATACAAAACCTGTATTTGGACCAAGAAGCAGTCATTAGAACAGAGCAAAGAAACACTGCATGGTTCAAAAATCAAGATGTAATTGCATCAGTAATGTTTCCTGTCTCCACATCTTTTGAATCAATATGCGGAACAGGTCATCTGGGAGGCTGGACTTTATGAGCAATGTGGCATAAAGATTGGAGGAAGACTCATTAACAACTTGCATTATGCAGATGACACAACCTTACATACTGAAACTGAGGAGGACCTGAGGCGTTTGCTGTAGTTGGTCAAGGACTACAGTCTTCAGTATAGATTAAAACTCAACACTAAGAAAACAAATTCTCACCACTGGACCAATTGGCAGCATGATAGTAGACAGAGAAAAGATTGAGATTGTTAACAGTTCCAGCTTACTTGGTTCCACAATAAACATTCTCGGCACCAGCAGTCAAGAAATTAAAAGACTAATTGCACTGGGAAAATCTGCAGTCAGGGAACTCTCCAGAAAACTGAAGAGCAATGATGTCAGTCTAGAGGCTAAGATGCACCTGATCCAGGTCATGGTCTTCGTAATTACTTGCTATACATTAGAGAACTGGACAGTGAATATGAATGACAGAAGAATAATCCATACTTTTGAGTGGTGGTGGTGGAGGTGATTATTGAACCAAAAGAACAAACAAGTCTGTCATAGAGAGAGTGAGGGTTGATTGTGGATCCAAATAAAATCCAGTCGTTGACAGCGTCAGTTTTTTATCCATTCATTAATCCTGATGTGTCATCATTGGTCCAGTTGTAAGGATACTTGTTTTCTTTATATTGAAATACCACTTAGTGGTAAGGATTTATGCTACTAACCCAAAGGCATGTATTTCAAATCCATCAGTTGCTCTGAAGGAGATAGATGGGCACTTTCTTCCTGTGATTTACTGCCTCTGAAAACTCACCGGTGGATCAGTTATGAGTCGATTCCACACTGTGGCTCATCTTTCAGTCAGCTGGACTCGGTCTCTTCACATGATGGTGGAAGCATTTCAGAAGGGATAGAAGTGAAACTGCAAGGCTCTGAGGCTGGAGCTCCCAGAGCAGCATCACTTCCACCTCAGTCTGTTGCTCAAAACAAATCACAAGATGAGCCCACATTTAAGGATTGGGGAAGCTGACTCCAGTTCCTCTGAGGAGTGGAAGTGTATGCAATGTGTAGCCGTGTTTAACCAAGCCTGTGTCCTATCTGGCCACCACTGCTTGCATTCTTCCCACATTCCCTCTCCTACCACTCCCAGTGTCATCCCTTGATGACATCTGGACTTTAGGACATTCAGTGGTTCTGGATCAGTTCAGCCTTCTAAGGGCAACACTTCAGTTGCAGAGACTTGCAAACCAAAAGATAAGTTTTCTGCCATCTCCACTGTGTACCTGTGCAGTGGTAAGTTAGGGACAGCCTGATTTCAGTGAATACTTATCTTCAACATGGGCAGAGGCAGGAGACACTCAGCAGATCTGAAGCCAGTCAGGCTGGCTGCTTCATGCCTCTTTGGAGTTTGGAGTAGACTTCTGCCTGTTGGGTATGGTTCCCCAGGTTCCTTGGTTCTGTCCCCTGATATGATTTCTCTTCTTGTGACAAATAGGCCATAATTTGCAGCTTTCCTCATCCTGCTTCATGTCTGTAGAAAGATGAGAACCCTTTGTTTTAAACAACTTCTGTTTGTCCTAGTATAAGATTTAGTGTTTCTTAACTATACAAATGTGCATTTCTTCTGAATCTTAATGGGGTTCACGGCATAGTCTAAAAGCCATATCTGTAATTATTTCAAGACAGTGTGAGTTCTATTTTGGCCATATGAGGCCTGTGTGGAACAGTGCCCACAAGATCCTTAGTTGTACTTTTGTCTACTTGGCAGGGCCCGTGAAGCGCCAGCTTTCATCTTGCAAGCAACGTGTATTACAACCATTTAGTAACTAGGGCTGGGGGTATGGGGAAGTTGTAGATTGGGTGTAGATGTGGTTCTGGGATGGGGTCAAGAGAGGGACCAGTTCAGGATACTACAGTCATAGAAAAAACCTGGCAGCCATTGTTCTGTTATTACTCAAGACATGAGAGCAGAATAACGTTTGTATTTTTAAAGTGCTTTGGTGGGGGGGAACCAATAAGAAAAAAAAAATCAGTGGCAGAGACCAAATATGGCACACAAAACCAAAAATATTTACTATCCAGCCATTTACAGAAATGATTAACCTCACACCAGTCTAATCCAAGAAGAACCATTAACATATTTCACATTACAGTGTATATGACATAACAATTCTGAGACCTCAAAATTTTGATACAATGTGTGTTCTTTACAAAAATTTTAAAGACAGATTCAGAATAGAGGACTTTCTCATATGTCAAAGAGTAAAATAACCAATCATTTTTAATCTTGGAGATGGTGAAGACTGAGCAGCACTTTAATCCCTGTGCATGGGGAGATCATGAATCCAGGCTGACCCAATAGCACCGATCACCACCACCACCACTGCTAAGCTTCCTGTCTTCATACGTCAGAAGCTTGAACCCTTTAGACCTTTCCCCCTCTCCTTTATATCTCACAGAGACGCAGCTGCGGGTTACCTTAGTTCTACCTAGTTTTTACGTGTCATCTTCTCCTCCCTTGTCATAACACTTCTGACTGTCAGCATCTCTCATCTGAGTTATCATAGGTGATGCGAGGGTCTCCCCACCTCTGACACTGCTCCTTCATAGCCACAGTGGTCTTTCTACTTGTGTTACCCCAGTCCTCTCTCCATTGGTTGATGTGAGGGCTTTAACTTGACTTTTCATTAAGTCCTTCACCATCCATGTCTAAGTATTCATCTAGATTTCTCTCTAGCCTCGTGATCATAACCGGTTCTTTTCTGAACTCCTCAACTGAGTGCCTGTGTCATATCACACCTGGATACCTACTTATGCCATGCACCAGGTGTGTTCTTTAACTTTGTGTTTGTGTGTGTGTGCGCGTGCTTGCGCACACCTCTGTAAAGGGTCAGAGCAACTCCTAGGAGCACAGTCCGCAGTCAGTAAATATTATTGGATTGTCTCACTAATGCCAATTGTCCTTTTAAAAATTGTGTTCTCTGAGTTTTACTTTTTTTTTTTAATTTTTTTTTTGAGTTTTACTTTTAACTACATGAAGACTCTTGATTTTTCTAGTAACCACATGTTATTTTCCTACTTACTAGAGCTTAACTTTTAATTTTTCGCCTGCTGAATCTGATCATTCATAGGTGAGAAATTTTTCCAGTGTGCACAGTGGTGTAGCAGCTATTTAAAAAAAAAATACTGGCAAGAACATGCTAAATATCATCATATACCCTTAAATTCTTGTCCCTGAAAAGGTTTATAACATGAGGTATGGAACAGCTTTAATTGGATTGAAGAGAAGTTGATTTCACAATTAGCTTCTCAGGTGCAGACATGGGAGAACAAAGGTTTTGGTAAAATTTAAGACAAGAAATTAGGAATTGGTGTTGTCCCATAACCTGAAGAGTGTGATGATTCTTTTTTTCCCCAACACAGGCATTGACGTGTCGGGAGGAGCTCCTCACTCTTCTTCTGTCGCTGCTTCCCCTGGTTTGGAAGATCCCTGTCCAAGAAGAAAAAGCAGCAGGTACGTGTCGTCCATCCACCCACCCCCACCTACCGCCCCCAGAATTTCCTGCGGTACAAAATTCTTCTGCGGGAGAGCCCACTCAAACGTTACTTCTGCTTGAAAGGTTGCTGTGGCTTCAAATTCAGAGGAGTATGATCATTTCCATATGTCAGAAGAAAAAATAGTTAAGCAATCCTTTTTATTTCTTCTAGTAATACAGAAATTATGTATTTCTTAGATTATTTGAAAGGAATGTTAATTAAAAGATAGATGAAGAACACTTATTATCAAAGGCGCAAATCTATAGCTACAATACAGGATCAAAGACATCAAGCGTGAACGTTTTTGAAGAAAGGATTTCAAGTTCCTTTGCTCATTTTAAACACTGCTTGATTTAAAAGTTGCTTGACCATTATATGAAAAGATTTCTTAGTGTTTGTTTAATTTTGTTTTTAGTGTTGCTTTAAAAAACACATTTAAAGTAATATTTTTAATGCAATGTAGAATGATTACTTTAAGATTACTATGTATTTTTAGTTTCTGATTTTGAAACATTAAAACATGTATATGGTAATTATATTAAGTACATCAATTTTATCCATTGACCACTTGTGGGATATTTGAACTGTGAGCTATTAGAGGTGTAAGCCTTAAATTAAAAAACAATTTTCTTTATTATATTTTACTTCATCTCTGGCATGATCCTCTCTTTAAGGAGTTATCTGTGTATTTTTAATAGCCTTTCTATTTATTGAGTCACAGTCTCTTTTGCTCTTTTTCAATTTGTAGAATTTACAAATTTTACATCACTTACAAAATGCATTAGTGTTCTTTGGGGCAAGTATTTTGTGCTGCCTGCCTGTTTTACTTAGGATGAATTTCTCAGACTTCTTTACATCTATCCTCTTTGAAGTCATTTTGAAGAGCCCTTAGGAGCACTGGTGGCCTAGTGGCAATAAGCTGCACTGCAGACCCAAGCACGTAGTTCAAATCCACCAGCTGTTCAGTGGGAAAAGAATAGGCAATCTCCTCCCTTGTGACGATTAATTGCCTCTGAAAACCAGCCAGAGGGTCAGCTGTGGGTCGATTCTGACTCAAAGGTACATACCAACAAAAAGTGGTACATTGAGTTAGGCAGTGGGCAGATAACAGAAACGTCAGTGGCTCAAACCAGCAGCTGCTCACAGGAGAGAGTGAGGAGGCCTTTTTCTCCCATAAGGATTCATGGCCATGGGTATCCTGAGGGGCAGCCTGCTCTGGCCTGTTTGGCTTCTATAGGATCCCCACAATTGGAAATCAATCCTAGTGACATGTTTGGCTTTTTAAAAAAATTAATTTTGTTCCTCTTAAGGAGTGGCATCCACTTCCAAAATGGCTTGCCTCTGGAAACTCTATGTACGAACAGTGTTCAGGCTGTTCATTCATAGGGTCGCTATGAGTCGTCTACGACTCGACGGCATTCAACAACAACAACAACAACAATTAAAGTACAACTATTTTATTTCCTTTATTCCTTCTATGTGGCAACATTATTACCATATATAAATGGACTTTATTGCAAAGAGAAAGCATCTTTATAGTTAGTGAAGTAGGTTTCTTCCTGCCCCTAAGATAGTTCCCAAAGGCTGACCCCAGGCACCTAGAATGACACTGTGGCCCCCACCCTGCCCCTACCACTGTGCTTTGCACAGAAGTTAACTGAATATTCCTGAAGACTTCTTTCAGTCCCCCTTTTGGACAACATTTAGTACCTACTGCATAATTTTGAATACGTTTGGAAAATCTTCAAGGTCTCCGGTTGCATCAGGCTATGACCCACTATAATTTCATCTCTTGTTTACAGCAAGGAAATCAATCCAGGAACATAACAGATAGCTAAAGGGTATTGACCTGGGTTTAAAAGTATACATCTTACCTCAGTCATCCCAAAGTGGGCGATGACTGAGGAAATAGCTGTATATACAAAATTGACTTTTGATGCGTGTTCAGGAATTCTAAATGTTTTTTTATTTCCTTAGATTTTCACCTACCATTCTCAGTGAATATCATCCAGACCAAAGAAAAGAGTTCCAGTTCACAACAACCCCCTCAGGACAAGTTGCATTTAGAGGGAAGTACCCCAAGCAGTCAGGTTTCCACAAAGGCAGAGCCTTTACTGAAAAGCCGCCGGCAGCGGAAGACCACCCACCGCTATTCCGTGAGGGATGCGAGGAAGACACAGCTGTCCACCTCAGACTCGGAAGGGAATTCGGATGATAAGAGTGTGGCTGTAACCTTCCGCCGCAGACCCCACGTGCCACAGTGTTCCCTAACCCAGCCTCCGAACAAAGACACCCCCCCGGCGAGAGCCCACCTCTCAGCTACCAAAGGCGAGCACACACTAGACGCTATGGCTTTAGAAAGGGCTGGAGAGGACATTCCAGACATGGACGTGCTGAGCGAGCCAGCTGCCTCGGCCATCATCAGTGCCATGAACAACTCTCCCTTTGACCTCTGCCATGTTTTGTTATCTTTACTGGAGAAAGTGTGCAAGTTCGATGTGGCCGTGAACCATGGCTTGGGCCTGATGGCTGGTGTTGTGCCCACACTGACGGAGTTCCTTGCAGGCTTTGGGGACTGCTGCGGGCCCAGCGGCAGTTTAGACAGCCAGGTAGTCTCTGCGGGCTGGACCGAGGAGCCCCTTGCGCTGGTCCAGCGGATGCTGTTCCGCACAGTGCTGCATCTCATGTCTGTGGACATCAGCACTGCAGAAACCATGCCAGAAAGCCTGAAGAAGAACCTAACCCAAGTGCTCAGGGCAGCCTTGAGGATCCAAGCGTGCCTCGAAAGGCAGCCCAACCCTTTTGCCCCCAGACAGAAGAAGACACTGCAGGAGGTCGAGGATGCTTTCGTGTTTTCCCAGTGTCGTCACAGAGCCCTTGTACTGCCGGAACTTCTTGAAGGAGTCCTGCAGATCCTGGCCTGTTGTCTTCAAAGCGCAGCTTCCAACCCCTTCTACTTCAGCCAGGCCATGGACCTGGTTCAGGAGTTCATCCACCATCAGGGCTTTCATCTGTTCGAGACAGCGGTTCTTCAGATGGAGTGGCTAGTCCTGCGAGACGGCGTCCCTCCCGAAACCTCAGAGCACCTGAGAGCCCTGATAGCTGGCGTGGTGAAGATCATCAGCACCGTCAAAAAGGTCAAGTCCGAGCAGCTGCACCACTCAGTGTGCACAAGGAAATGGCACCGGCGCTGCGAGTATTCACACTTCCTGCACCACCACCGGGACCTCTCTGGCCTCCTGGTCTCAGCTTTCAAGAGCCAGGGTTCCAGCAACCCTTTCGAAGAGACGGCGGACGGAGATGTCCACTACCCCGAGCGGTGCTGCTGCCTGGCTGTGTGTGCCCACCAGACCCTGCGCCTGCTGCAGCAGGTGTCTTTGACCAGCACCTGTGTCCACATCCTGTCCGGAGTCCACAGTGCTGGCATCTGCTGCTGTATGGACCCCAAATCTGTCATAATCCCTTTGCTCCATGCTTTTAAATTGCCAGCTCTGAAAAATTTTCAGCAGCATATATTAAATATTCTTAACAAACTTATCTTAGACCAGTTGGGTGGAGCAGAGGTTCCGCAAAAAATCAAGAAAGCAGCTTGTAATATCTGCACGGTCGACGCTGACCAGCTGGCCACACTGGAAGAAGTGCTGCAGGACCATGCATGTGACGCTGAGTCCGTCTCAAAGCTGTCCAGCCCTTTCTTCCGCTGCCAGGGCATCCTGCCCAGCAGTGGGGCTGAGGACCTGCTGTGGAAATGGGATGCTCTAGAGGCTTACCGGGACTTTGTGTTTGAAGAGGACAGACTGCAAAGTGTGCAGATTGCAAACCACATCTGCACCTTGATCCAGAAAGGCAATGTGGTGGTGCGGTGGAAACTGTACAAATGTGTGTTTAATCCGGTGCTCCAGAGAGCAGCTGAATTGGCTCATCATTGCCAGCATCTAAGCAGCGCTGTGGCTCGAACTCATGACTGTAGTCATCATAGCCCGTGTCTGCCTCAGGAAGTGTTGCAGGTTTACTTAAAGACTCTGCCTGCGCTGCTGAGATCCAGGTGTGTGCTTCTCTATGTGTTCACGTGTGTGTGCGTGCACACACTCTTTTCTTACTGGATATTTTTTGTAATGACTTGCGTTGATTTGAACTTCTAAACTTGTAAACTTTAGTGCCTCATCAAAGTCTAAGAATCTTTGCTCTTTATTCTTTTCTAGGGTTTTATTTGGTTTAACAACAAGCAGGTGCCTATTTTCAAAAGTACCATTGTCAGATTTTTTGTAAATAATTTTTCCATCTGTGTGTTTTTAACTGTCAATCTGGTGATCTGTCTGTTTCACTGGCATTACAAAGGCTCATATAGCAACTGATCAGTTGCTAGTGGAAAAATCCATGTTTTAAATATACTCAGGGAAAAAAGGGTTCTGGGAGCAACACACTGGAGCAGATTAAATGAATTATATGTACTTGATAGATTATTATTGGTCATGACATCTACTGGCTACAAAGATAATGTTGGACTATTATGTTTGTAATACCTAATGGGTAAAAATCCAAAATTAAAAATGTGGCATACTTACTTGTTGCATATACAAAATGGTATTTATTGAGGCAGTGGTATTAAGGTGATTGCTATTAATGGACAATCTCCTCCTGTGTGATTTACTGCCTCAGAAAACCCACTGGAGGGTCAGCTATGGATCAGTTCTGACTCAACAGGACACATCAACAACTTCTGTATTTATAACATTATACTCCTTGGAGTTCTGGTAGCCTAGTGAGTGAAGAGTTGTGGTGCCAGCCCAAAGGCAGGAGGTTCAAATCCACCAGCTGCTCCATGAGAGAATGAAGGGTCATCTCCTTCCATTATATTTAAAGCCTCTGAAAACCCATTGGAGGGTCAGGTATGAGTTGATTCCAACTTGATGGCACATAACAACAGTAATCTATATGTAACAATGGATGTAGAAAAATTAGAAAATTCAAGTTAGAAAAAAATTAATATTATATTTTCACCACTGAATTCCTAAAATATGTGAATGTTAAGCTTAGTAAATTTTAAATCTAACTTGATTTAAAACTTTGCTTTTGATAAGTAGCCAGACCTTTCAAACCAAAGCATACACCTTTTTAGAAACTTTTATTAAATTAGATCACTGCTATCTCTATTTCTACCACAATCTGTCTATCTTAATACAGCTACTTTGAAATTGATGTTTAATGTTATATCATTGCCATATAATCTCCCCCCTCACATTTCAGACATCATTTATTTAAGTAGCACCAGCTTTGATTTGAAGTTGTGTAATTTCTTGGCATATTTGCACATAGCCCAGATCTTTACAAAATAAAGGCTAAGAATCACTGAGCTGGGTTTTGTTGTTACTACAGTAATTAATTATTTAGCAGACTTTAGGGATTTTATTACTAAAATTCCTGTGATCTAGAGCTCCATGCAGCTCCATCTGAGACACAGCTGACCATCATATAGTTGTTTAGTTTGGTCTTTTGTCCTCCTCATTAGGGGACACAACGCCTTACCCACCAGGCCCCAAGAGCTCCTTCTTTGTTAGATGTGCGTATAAAATAAGAAAAATGTCCTGAGCAAGCTAAACAGGAAAGAAACATGGTGGTAGTCGTGATATGGAAAGTGTACATAGAGTTTGCCATTTAGAGAGAAAGGTTCTTCCTTAAGTTGTGCAGGCAGTGTCTGAAGAAGGAAGTAAGAAATTATCCAGAAGCTGTGGTCACACCTAGTGTAGACAGGTATCTGAGGAATCAAATTAAGAAGTGTCACGTGTATATCATATGTAGTAATGCTCTCCCTAACTGGCAAATAGGTCTGTTTAGAATTGTTTATTCTCTATGTAAAATCTTTTCCTTTTTTCCCTCTCTCTTTCTCACAGGGTAATAAGAGATTTGTTTTTAAGCTGTAATGGAGTGAATCAAATAATTGAATTAAACCACCTTGACGGTGTTCGCAGTCTTTCCCTAAAGGCATTTGAAATGCTGATCATCAGCCTGGAGGAGCAACAGAAGGATGCTTTGGTCCCAGGTCCTGAGGGTGACAATGAACAGAAGGCGTCAGCCTCTCTGAATGCAGGTCCTTCTGGTCCTCATCAGCAAGGTTGCTCAGAGTCTCCTCAGAGTCTCAGCAAGTTTTATTCCGGCCTCAAAGATGCCTATCCAAAGAAGTGGAAGACTGTGAGCCAAGACACCCACATCAACATGATCAATCTGTTCCTTTGCGTGGTGTTTCTGTGTGTGATCAAGGAAGCCGACCCTGATAAGGACTCTGCCGCTGAGTCCGAGGATACCTCAGGCTATGACAGCACCGCCAGCGAGCCTCTGAGCCACATGCTGCCGACGCTGCCCGTGGACAGCCTGGCCTTGCCAGCCCCCGAGCACCTGTACCAGGCCGCGGACATCTGGTCCATGTGCTGCTCCATCTACATGCTGAGTCCTGTCTTCCAGAAGCAGTTTCATAAGCTGGGTGGTTTCCGAGTGTGCTATAAGTTAATAGTTATGGTGATACAGAAGCTCTTACGAAGTCAGAAAGAGGGGCGACACAAAACCCAGGACGATGCAACTGGAAATGAAAGGCAAGATTTGAGCAGAGCTACCCAGTCTGAGATAGCTGTGGAGGAAGATGTATCATCTCTGATGATGAGAAAAGACCTCTCACCCTCAGAAGTGGGCAGCTCGCAGAAGAGTGCAGATGAGTCCTCGAGTGTTTCCTCTGTGAACTTGGGACAAGCCCCATCTCCCAAAGCTGATCCTCAGAAAACAAAAGTATTTCCGAGTCAAGAGGGTGAGGCCTCACTTCAGAGTGTGCGGCTCCTGGAAGCCCTGATGGCCATTTGTCTGCATAGCGCCAGGACCAGTCAGCAGAAGGTGGAGGTGGAGCCACCAAGCCAGGTAACTGTCTCTAGGCTAGCTCTTCTGCAGTGTGCACTTGTAAACCTTTAAATTAGGACTAGCATTCTAGACTAGCACTTCAAGTTGAGAAGCTCCCATGTGCTTAGCACAGCACCTTGCACTGTGGAAGGTACCCGGGAAGGTAGCAATCAGTTCTGGAATACAGGAAGTTTAACGTTTGCTGTTGAGGATGCAGAAGCCACCACTATAAAAGCAGGAGTCCCTGAGCATCAGATGAGCTGTGGTTACTGTGTCTCCCCTTTAGTTAATCCTGTTAATGCCCTGCCCCTGCAGGTGCGGGCCTGAAGCTCCCCACTGCCTCTGGAGGATTGTCCTTGCCCCAGAGAGACCCCTCACTAAGAGGGACCCAGGAAAATTGTCCATAAGTGATGAGTGGGTCAGCAACGGGACAGCCTCCCCTGGACAGTTTAGGCTCCCAAGATTTGCACGGGATTAAACTGTGGCCATTTCTCATGAAACACTCTCTTTGCCTAATTTCTTCCCCTGGCATTTGTGCTTCCTTCATAGCTTACAAAGAACTTCTGCAAACGGCAGCTTGACAACCAGTCACTTATATAAGAATCCCCAGGTCCTCTTCTCAAGAACCGTCGCATGTCATGGACCCCTTCTGTCCCTACTAGCTCCCTCCTGGTTTCAGTGTCCACTTTGGCATTTGTCTGAAAAACTGGGATGTCTCAGCGTTCTCACTTTGAAGTCCGTACTCCTTAGCTAGTGTGCAGTGCCCTTCACATTGCCTTGCCTTCCCTTCCCCACTGAGTCTCGTTTCCTGCCTTCCCCACCATGCTGCACTCTGTACCAAGCCAACAGACTCTCATGGCCCCGTTCTGCACCACGCCCTTTATTCTGTGCTCTTCAGCCTGCTGTGTCCTCTCTCTCCTTGTCTGTTTCCTGCTTGTTCTTCCCTGCCCTTCTCATGCAGTATCTCCTCTGGGACACTTGACAGTTCTATGAGACACCTTCCCCCTTTTTTATCTCAGAGAATTCTCTTATTGTGCTAGTATAAAAAAGAGGTTTTTGTCTGTCTTTATTTCTCTCATTGGACCAAAAATTCCTTGTAGTGAAATCATCTTCTTAGCCATCTGTATGTTCTTATTAGCTAGTGTCAGACAAGTGGAAACTCCTTTCGAGAACTGAAGAGGAGGAGAAAAAAAGGATTAGAAAGGATTTGGAGAGAGCCTTAAGGAATCTCAGGAAAGCAATTGTTAAATCTAGAGATGAGTCAAAACTCTCCCTTGTCATGACATCATCTTTTTGGGAATGAAATTAATTTTATAGACAGTCTGATCTAAGATATATTATATCAAAGCTCTGGTGGCATAATGGTAAGGAGTTGTGCTACCAACCCAAAAGCAGGTGGTTTGGATCCACCAACTGCTTCACAGCATAAAGATGGACTCTCTCTCCCCATGCAATTTACTGCCTCTGAAAACCCAGTAGAGGGTCAGCTATGATTCACTTCCACCTCCACGATACATAGCAACAACAAGGTATATTTAATGCAAAAGCAAATCAGATTAGTATTTTATTTAAAAGCTGCCTTATTAATTAATTATAACAGTAGGATTTTTTTTTAGTATAAGATATTTATAGTCATTTTAGTTTTGTATCAACTGCAAATAAAGACTGGCTTTCTGCTGGTGAATGTTAATCCTCATTTTGTCACAAGGTAGTTTTGGCTTTTTCTTAAATCATGTTGTTAATATTCTTACTCTCTTTATTTTACCTTAGAACTTGTCTGTGGAAAATATACTACTTGAAATGAGGGACTATCTTTCCCAGTCCAAGGTGATTGAAACAGAACTAGCAAAGCCTCTATTTGATGCCCTGCTTCGAGTTGCCCTGGGGAATCACTCGGTGGATTTTGAACACACTGATGCTATCGCTGAGAAGGTATGAACACTTACATGTCCTAGAGGCAAGCAAACTTCAATGCAGCTGTGTGCATATGACTAGCAGAGGTACAGACAGTACACGGTGGGGGACAAGGACGTGAATGAGTGTGACTAGAACACATTATGGACTGGGCTCTGGCCAGCTGTGTGTGATGGACATGTCTGCGTCACCTGAGATTTAGCAGTAAAGGCCGGCTTAGAAGGAATGAGTTCAGTAGGAGAACACTGTGACAGGCTTTTGTTCGTTCAGTCTGCAAAGGTGCTGAGAATTAATCTCAGCAAGATAGAAATGTCATTTAGATTGACTAAGTCTCACACATCACTAAGTTTATAAAATGGCAACTTGGGGATAGTAAGAATTAAGTAGCATTATTTAGCCCTGTGTTGGTACCGCTAATATTTACAGGAGCCTTTATTTTAATTTTAAACATTAAAATAGGAAGCTCTGGTGGCTTAGTGGTAAGAAGGATGGGCAGTCTCCTCCTGTGAGATTCACTGCCTCTGAAAAGCCGCTTGAGGATCAGCTGTGTGTGGGTTACAACTCATGGACACACAACAGCAACATTAAAATGATTAGTAGTAGTAGTATAGAAAATTACAGACATAATTTTTTAGTTATTCATGTTAAAGAAATCAACTAATTTCTGAAAGAGTTATTTCTAAAACCTTGTGGTCCCTATTTGGTTCATTTCCTTCATCTTTCATGCTCTTTTACCTTTAGTTAATTACTGCCTTTTATCTTTATAAAACTTCTTTTAATTCCTTGATCTGGCCATATCAATGTCTTAGACATTTTGCCATAGTATTTTATGTTACTTTGTCATAAAATAAAAACTTACTGAGTTACCAATACCTTTATTATGTTACTGACTCAGTTTGCTAAGAGTAAAGAGGTTTTTACTTCATTTAAGTGATGATGTTTTCTAATGTGAAGGTATTTGTTTTCTTTTTATAAGAAAAGGAAAATAACATGCTATAAAATATTGTACAAGAAATTAATACTGGCACTCTTGATTTCTGAGATGTTGATATGTAGATATTGCATTATGAAAACTTTAATCTTTGAAAAAATGTCATGCCTTGTTTGGCGAGCTAACTTATGAAACACTCAAAACATATAAAAATATAT